ACAGTCTGAACCTTAGAGATAGTAGCTTCTCCCTCAGCCCCTGCTGCCCTCACTGAGCAGTCCCTCCTGTGTCCACATCCCCAGGTGCCCACAGGCCATCTCTGTCTCCTGAGGGCAGTCACTAGGTCCCTGGACAAAACATGTCCCAAACTGACCTTCCAACCCCAGCCCCAGCTCCTATCTTCCCAGTGCCTTACCTTGAGAAAGGGACATCTCTCCCCATGTGTGCTCTACCCAGAAACCAGGAGCCATCACTGAATCCCCCAAACCCCATCGGTTCTACTGCTGAAACGTCTCTCTAGGGCCTTCGCCTATGCCCATCCTGCCTGCCACTGCCCCAGGTCTGGCCTCAGCCCTTGTCAAGGCCTTGTGAACCCCAGCCCTACGTATTCTCTACCTTCCACACTGCCGGGTGAATTCAGTAAGTCCGCACCTAGATCTGTCCATCACTCCTGCTGCTAAAACCCATGGATACCTGTCCTCATCCTAGAAATCAGCTTTCTCAGGAAAGGGACTTGTCTTTCTTGTTTAGGCATTAATCCCAGAGCCTGGCCCAGTGACAAGCACATGCATATTTGGAAAGTGAATGAATGAACTCTCTGAACTTGCCCTGCCCTTTCCCAACTCCACATCTTGTTTCATGTTCACTTTTCACCACTTAATGTATATCATAGGCTGATCATCTCTTGAGAATGACATACTCGCTTACTGTCTGTCGCCCACAAGATGGTCCCATCCACGTGAGCAGGGACCAGGTAGGTGCGCCTTATTCCCTGCTGGGCCCTAGCACTAAGAATAGTGTCAGATACTTGTTGAATGGATGGGGAGATCATCTACATGCTAAATTCCAAACTCTGCTTGGGCATTTAAAGACCTTACAGATCTCACCAGACCCATCTCATGTTAGAGTCTGGTGGGGTGTAGCCAGGGCTGGTCCTGGCATTTTGAGGCCACCGTGGCACCTAATGGCCAATCAGGTACACACCTGTCCACCACAGTTGGGGCTCAGCTTGAAGCACGTGTGCCCAGTTTGAGCATTCAGTGCCCCTCCTTCTGACAAAGGCAGCCCCCACCCAGAAGCCTCCATCGGACAGGTGGTGCTAAGGACTCTGCCTGTGCTCTGCTGACAGCAGGGTGCAGACACTGGCAGGAGGTCTCGATAGGCCAGCCTAACACCAGGTGCCTGCCTATCTACATCCAGAGACTTCACAGCACATGCGTTTGCTCTAATGACAGGGGGGCGCTCTCCCTCAAGGTTCTCCCGGCGAGGCCGGTGTGTGGCTGGAAGGGCTGGAGGCGAAGGCTGCCCTGCCAGCAGGGTTTCTGGGAGAAGCCCCACATAGCTCCCCTCCACCTCAGCTACTCCTCACAGGCAGAGAGCTGTGGAGCCGCACGCGGCTGGGGCGCCCGTACCTGTGCTGGGCCAGGCGGGCAGGAGAGGCGGCCACAGAGAGTGAGGCCCGCAGGCCCCTCCCTCTCTCCCTCTGAACCCTGCCTGACCAGGCAGTCCCCTGGCCCCTTGGCCCCTCTGCTCTAAGCCTTCTCCAGCCACCCTCACTGCCACCTCCTAGGAGAGAAAAAAGGCAAGCCGAGCATGGCGCTCAGTGCCTTCATACTCCTAGAGCCCCTGGGATTTCATTCAGCTGCTTTGACGAAGGACACAGGTTCCCCGCACAGCTCCCAGGGCAGACCAGGTATGCAAAGGCCCACGTCCAGCCTGCCTCTAGGACCTGCACATTTTCATGGGCTCCAGCCCCTATGCCACAGAGGCCACCTCAGCCCAGTTCCAGCCCTTCTCCTCACCAATCAGATGGCTTCAGAGGCAGGGTGTCCCCTGGCCATAGTCAGCATCAGTCTGTCCACAGATGGAGTTGGTCTGTCCGTGAAGCCTCCAGAGTAAAGTCCTTGAGAGCTCATCAGCACCTGAAGCCAGCAGAGACCTGGTACACCTGTCCCCAAGCCAATGGGGTCCCTGAACCCCCAAGCAGCTAGCAGCCTCCCAGTCAGAGAGCTGCCTTGCACTGCCGAACACCAGCAGGACAGGCTGGCAGTGGCCTCGAGGAGCTCATGCCCACCGCTAAGGCAAGCTGGAGACCCTGCCTGGGGTCACCTGCCCACTGGACAAGCTGTCCTGCCTGCTGGCTAGAGGCCTGGACCTCTTGCTGTGGGCCCTGCACACCCCAGGCCGTCAGCAGGTGAGGACTGGATGCTGGCTACCTGGCTAAGGAAGCTGCTTGTCTGCCCAGCCCCTCCCAAGCTCCCTGGGGAGCTCTTCTTTACAGGGAGCATGCACCACTCAGGGCTTTGTGTCTGGGGACTCAGAGCCGCCAGCTCGCCTTCCCTGTCTCCCAGCCTCCGTCACGGCCCTGGCCACCCTACCTGACTGGAGGGCAAACCAGAGAGAAACCTGGGAGAGATGAGCTGTGCCTGGGTGGGGCAGCATTGGGGAGGAATCCTTCCTGTCCTCCAGGACTCCCTGAAGTTGACCTCCAATCAGTGCTGGGGTTACAGAAGGGAAATAAGCTCCTTCTCAAGAAGCCAGGATTTCTGGCTGCTCCCAGGTACGACAGAGTCCCCCTCTGTGTACCCTTACATCTCCCTCCCCACATGCCTACCTTCCTTTGCACCCCTTCCCCCCACCCCAGCTGCTGGGAAGCTAACCTGAGACAGAACCGGGCTGTTGAGTTTCAGCCCCTGCCAGGGCAGAGGGAGTGGTGGGTTGAGAGGGTGAGGGTTGGGGCCAGCCCAGCAAGGCAGGCATGACCAGAGGCTTACAGCTTTTCCCACCTGCACACATGGCTCCAGAGCCTGGCTGCTCTCTCTGTGGGCTACGTGGGGTGGCTTACAAGAGATCCTGTGCACAAAGCCTGGGGCACATACAGGTACTTGTATCTGCAGGTGACAGAGGAGTTTGCAAGGATACATGCCAAGCCAACCATGGCAGTCAGTTCTGCATAGACACTTGACACTGGGAGACAAGGGGCTTTCTGAGTTACACCCATAATATTACCTTTTTCAGGAAGATATAATCAAGCAGGATTGGTGTAATTGAATATTTTTTAAATGCAATGTTCTGGTATGCAGTAGGGGCACCAGGAGAAGAAGTGGTCAGAATGGACTTACTTTCATACAGAAGGCTTGCCCATAGAGCGCACGCCCTAAATTCCAAGTCTGCCTGACCAACGCAGAGCTAGCCTTCCTTTCAGGAGGAAATCAGGCCAGAATTGCTCTTGGGGACTCTGGTCAGAAGCCATCCTGGCAGCCCTTTATTTCCGCTGGGTGACAGGGGTCCAAAGGCACTGGAAGCTAGCTTCTGTCCTCTGGAGGCCCCTGAAGAGGGAACAGGCTGGCCTAGGCAGAGCCAAGCAACCACGCTAGTGTGGGGTAGGCTCACCCATTTCTCCAGGGGGCCACCACACTGTTTGTTTGCATCTCAGCTAAATTGCTCCCAAGGGTGAACCTTTGTTGCATAACATATTTTCAACCAGACTTTTTCTGCAAACACCTCAGTGTCTGCTCACGCACATGAACACCCACGTCCCAGTGGGCAGGCCTTGGCCCGCCCGCCAGGAGGCCTGTCCTTCGGAGCGGCCTGCAGTCAGCTGGCTGGAGCAGAAGGGAGGGGTGGCTTCAGGAGGGCCCCTCAATGGCAGGCCTTCTGACATCCGTAGCTCTGGGTGCTCCGCTCTGCCTAGCTGGCCTTCCAAGCCCTCCAAGGCCGAGGGGCTTTGGCAGTGGCAGCAAGCCGACATGCTGGTTTGTCCTGAGGCTTCAGGGAGTGCTGGGGTGGCCTGCCGGGAAGTCCCGCAGCCACCTTCCTAAGCACCAGGAACTCCCAGGGCTCCAAGGCCCACCTGGAGGGGGCGGGGAGCTCCAGGTTCTCACCGGGCCTCTGGGCTCTCTTAAATAGAATCACTCGCGTCTGAGCCCTGCCCTCCCTCCTTCTGCAGAGGGCCTACGTCTGGCGCCCCATTATCCTCCCTGCCCCAGGACCAGAGAGGATCTCCCAGCTGTTCCTTCACCAAGTGTCCTTGTCTCGGTCCTTAGCAGCCACATGTGTGGTGCCACACAAGGCTGACAGTAGGTTCCTCTTCCTGCTCTCAGAAGTATTATAGGCCCCGGAGAGTCAGGAGTGGAGGGGCCCCGGGGCCATGGAGGACCAGAGAGGAGCTGCTGGGGGCAGAGCAGGCCTGACGGCTATGGTCTCTCTCTCCCTCCCTTTCCTCCCACTGTGCCCTGTCCCTCTCTACATCTCTCTCTCTCTGTCTCTCTGTCTCTCTGTCTCTCATACACACACACACACACACACACACACACACACACACACACACACAGCATGTTTATTTTATATCTAGTGGCTAACACACTCTTTCACCTTTGAAGACTGAGAAGCCTTGACAGATTTGGGGGTGTTGAGGAAGGTCACTAAAACCAATGAGAACATTCTGGGTCCCAAACCCTCCTTTCCCCCCACCCCGACCCCCATGTGGCTTCCCATCCAGCCTCCAGATCTGAGTCGAGACCTTGTCCCCAGCCAGTCTTTAGGAAGCAGGCTGAGCCCTAGGTGGGGACACAGGAGAACCCACCCTAGACCCAGCCCTGTCCTGGTCTTGCTAGATGATCCCAGGCCCATGTTCCACGTTTCTGGGACTCAGTTTCCTCCTAGGCCAATGAAAGGCTTCTGGTCCCTTCTGGGAGATTTCCTCTGAGTGAGTTTCTGCAACGTCTGAGCTGGACAAGCTGCTGTAGAACTGCTTCCCCACAAGCACTTGCTGGCATGAGCCCCACAGGAAAGTCCTCACCAAGCCCTGCTGTATGTAAGGAGGCCCCCTGCCTGGGACCCTGGGCCGGGGGCATCAGCCCAGTCCCAGCAGCAGGGCCTTTGTGCAGACGGACTGTCTCCACGTAAGTCCTGAATACAAGTAACTCAGACACCAAGGTTTGCTGCTATCAATAAACTTTTATTGAGCATGTTGTCTGTGCAGAGCCCTTGCACAGCAGGGAAGACAGCCAAGCCCCCGCCACAGAAGATAGAACAGAAGGGGTGCTACAGGACAGTGGCAAAGCCCTGCTCTGAGATGGTCACTGTGGAGCCTGCCGCTGGTTTTACCATAGGGACCAGATGCTACCCTGCTTGCCCTCCAAAGGGGCTCCCTCAGCCCATTCAGAGCACCATGCATTCTCTACCTCCCAGCAGCAAGGGCCTCCCCCAGGCCAGAAAATGGCCCTGACAGTGCAGGGTGCTGCTGGGACCAGAAGGAGGACGGGCGAGGGCGGCTCAGGGGAAGAAGGGGAGGAGTGGCGGGGGAGAGGGCTCGGGGCACAGCATTGAAACCTCACTGGCTCAGCCACAGCCACAGGTTGGCGATGCAGGCCGACACCAGCATGGTGAAGAGCAGAACTTCCCTGTGGTGCCAGGCAGTGCTCTGCTCCTCCAGGGCCTTCACACGCTGGGTGACCGTGCACAGCTGTCAGAGACCAGGAGTCCATGAGCCGAGGCCATGGCACACCCGTGGGAAAAAGTAGGCAGTTAGAGCAGGAAGGAGCTCTTCTTTCCCTGTTTCCTTCCAGCATCTCCGGGAGAGAGGGGGGCTTGGGGCTAGGCATGGAGATGAGATAGCAGAGCCGTGGGGCTGGGACGGAAGGGGAGGGGAGCGGGACCTCACCCAGCCCAAAGCACCATGATTGGGCCTCCACCCTCCAAGTGGGTCCCTGGCACGGCACAAGCTCACCTCCTTCCTCATGACTTCCATCTCCACTGCATTCGGCCCTTCCATGTTAATCTCTACAAACCTATCCACCTCCATGTTGCTGGGCAATAAGAAAAGACAGAGGGTCAGAGCTGCTGGTGGCTCCAGGCCAGGCCTGGCAGGGAGCACGGGAAGGCCACAAGAGCAGGCAGGTAAGGTTGAAAGGTTCTCCGGACAGTGACTCTGTTGGGCTTGAGTCTTTCCCTTCCCTTCAAAGCAGATCCTGGGGCCTGAGGGCTGGGGTGGCAGAGCATTTGGAAGTCTGAGATGGACAAGGGGCCAGGAGGCTCAGGGTGATGGCAAGGAGACAACAGAGTGCCAGCATGCAAAGCATGACCAGCAGTCACACCCCTTTCCCAGCTGGTCAGCCTGCTGGCCCCTCTGGCCTGCCCTGGTCCCTGCTCAGAGAGCTCCAGCTTTCCTCCCACAGGGTCCCTGGCACCCTTCTTACCGCTCACGACGGGACCTCATGCATTGGAAGCTGCCAGGATAGTGCTGGGAATGGGCATCACCAAAGCCTTTTTCTCGCGGCATTCTGGGAACTGGCGACTGGGTCCCCCAAGGAAAAAATGGTTAAAGTAGGCTGTTCGGCCCCAGCTGAGTGGCTTCCCCACACTTTGCCCAGGACCATAGTACACTCCCTCGGGAGTCACGTGGTGCCAGATCTTCCCAAATCAGGGGCTGGCAGCTTCAGACCACTAGAAGGGCCTGGGAACCCCATAAGCTGGCCACCTGCCACCAGCCCACCCACACCATGCTCCTCAGTTGCTCCTGGCTGTCCAGGCCGTGGTGAAGGAAGAACAGGTACAGTACTGTCACACATCAGCTGAGTCTGAGTGACCACTGAAGGACAATGGAAAACCTCAATTTTAAAGCCAAATAAATTGAGGCCTGGCAAGGTGAATGCACTTCCCAAAGACACTCAAGAAGTGTTGGAGGTCAGGATAAAACCGCAGCCTCTCTTCTTACGGGAAACCATAGCCTCCTTTTTAGGGTAAGCCCAGTCATCCCCACAGCTTTCATTTTCATCCGGGGAGAACCCAGGCCCAGAGGCTGCAGGGACACTGGGGTAGTATCACGACCCAGTGAGCAGCCTGCTCCTCCCCAGCCCTGCCGTAGCAGACCCTGCCGTCAGGGGTCTCACCAAGACCCCCAGTTCCGTCTTGGCTCTCCCACTGGCATAGACAGCCGAGGGTCGCCCGCCATCTGGGAAGGACCTGCAGCCCTCCTCTGCTCTTAACAGCAGCGAGGCGGATCGATTTCCTTGTAAAGGATTTTCATGGGAACTTGGCCGCCAGGCTCCATTTGTTGTAATAACGTAAAATTCGTCTTTCCCCAAAGTGCACATTGCTGCAGTACTGGTGTGACTTTGTGTGAGTGTGTGTGTGTGTGAACAGTACTTCACAATTGTACCATTTTATTTTCCTCTTCTTCTTCAGATACCTCAAAAATCACATTAAAAGGACAATGAGTTTCAAGAAGACCCAGGCTATACAGGGTCATTTGATCAAGAGTTTGTCCTAGAACAACTTCCACGCCATCTCCTTGATCTTCCTACAGATTGGGGTCAGGCAGATATAATGTGTTTCTGAGTGATTTGAAGGCAAAGTAAGGGTGGGTGATTGGTGGCTAGGGCTCCTTGTTTGAGAGAACTGTTTTTAACACATCAATATAATAATTCATTGAACAACATCTGCAAGCCCATGATAACCTTTTGTCAACACCCATCATAGTAATTGTTCAAAACCACTTGTCTTGTTTTTTGTGTTTAATTTTAGAAACCCTCAATTTAGAATTATGTACATTGTCAAACATAGGACTTTTGTGTAAATTTGACAGGGAATAGGAAAATCTATGAACAGTAAAACCCAGCTTCCTTCCATTACTATTTCAAAAAGTGTTATTTTTATTTTCATGCACTTTTTAAAAGACACTATTTTTTTGCCCTAAATCAGCAGAACAGTATTATTAACTCTTTTTGGCCTTTTATATTGTGGTTCTCTCAGAGGCAGTAATAGTTCCAGTGGTTTATTTTTTTACTCAAAAATAAATAAATAGAATTGATAAATTAAATTTATTAACTCCAAATATCTAAACTTAATTTCTAAATTCAATACCACAACTCTATTTTTCAAAAGTGTGCTCCCCTGCTCCTCATCGTGACTTTAACTGACCCAGAGATTCGACCCCCACCTGCACCCTTCACTCTCAGGGACATGCGGGGCTTGCTGGGGCCTCAGTGGCTGGAGCAGCTTGGTTTGGCTTCAGCCGTTGTACACAGGAAACTATTTTAATATTTCTGGCTTATTGTAATTCCCAGGCAGTCTGTGACCTGGAGCTCTTTTCCTTTTAATTCACTGGGGGCAGAATCATTTCAGCCTTTATCCCACCCAGGACAGTCAGGCCTCCCTCTTCTCCCACTGTGTTGCCTTTTGCAACAACAGCACAGCAACCATGTTTCTAAACCCTTTCCTCACCCCCCAGGAACTGTGGGACGAGGAGGCTCACATGATGCCCTAGAACAGACAGCTCTGCTTTCCAAAATGGCTGCCTTTTCCCAGTATCTTTTGCAACAGTATAGGTGTCATTTTCTCTAGAACATTCCCTAACTCACATTGACTGTAGTTTAGAGGACTGGCTGCAAAATGGTCAGATTCAATTGACTTGATTTCGTAACAGTCTGGGAGCATAAGAACCTCACTTACCTTATCCTTGTCCCAGACATGAGACAGATACATTAAATAGATATAATTTAATTTATATTTACTTCTATGCAGAGATGCAGATTTATGTATATATATATATAATATCAATATAGAGAGAGGAATATAAATATAGAGAAAATACATACTCAGTTATTAATAAAAGAAAGTGTCATTTCACACACACTAGAATTTTGCAGAGTAAAGTACATATGTACTCCCCAAGCAATATGTGCTTCAGGCATCCTGGGCTCCCAAGTTTGAAGTCCCAGCCCACCAAAGGGTGGCTCTGATCTCTTGCTGGGCCTCCCTGCCCTCTTTGGCCTGGCTGGTACACAGGAGCTTCCTCCTCCCTGCCAACTCAATATCTGGCCCTGCTCGACCTGCCACTATCAGGTCAGGCTGAAAACCCTCCAGCCAGTATTCCCAATCCTCACCCAGCCACCACATGCCAAGGGCCCCATTACAGTACCACTTTCCTGGGCCGGACAGCTCTTATGTTCCAAACTGGTTGGCCTGCAGCAAAGCCAGCAACCTTTGCTTCCAGCTTCTGACGCCGCTGAGGGGCACTCGGGGGCCAGGATCCATGCTCTGTCATTCCTAGAGAGAAGAACCAAGGGCCTAGGAATACCCAGGCTTCCTGGACACAGGACACCGGAAAGAGGGTAGGGCCCCCAAACTTCTTAGGACTCACTCAACACCCATTCACTGTGGTCCACTGGGTGATCCCAGGCTTCAGTTTGTTCACCTGTGCAAAAGTATAGCAAGTATTTACTGAGGACCAAGCTCTGGGCTAGGTTGCTGGAGAGAGAGCAATGACCAAGAGGCAAGCTTGCAGCAATAGGGAACTGACTGCCTCTGTGCGTTTAGGGGAGTAAGGGGGCAAAACAGAAAATAACCCATCAGAGCAGATTAAGTAATAAATGCTCCCAGAATGATAAAGGCACGGCAGCGTGACACAAAAATGGGACTGCTTCTAGACCAGTCAGAAGTAGCATCGAGGCAGAGATCTGAGAGAGAAAAAACGCCAAGTCCTGGATAATCTGTGGGAAGAGCACCACCAGGCAGAGAGCGCAGTAAGCACAGAGGCTGGAAGAAAGAGCCCGTCCGTTGGGGGCTGCCGTGCTGCAGCCTGAAATACGTTGAGGAGGTGATCTCAACCGGATCTTGCAGATTGTGGTAAGGAGGTCAGGTTTTACTCTGAAAGAGAAGGCATTGGGAGAGGAAAACAGAGAAGTGATCGGACCGATCTCATTCACTGAGCCCTCTGGATCGTTTACAATAGACACAGTGGTGGCTCGCGCGATGGGGAGACAGGCCCACACATGCTGCTCCCATCCTCCTTCCTCGCAGGCTGCAAAATGCACACATTACCAAGCCCTTTCCCCCCAGCACCCCATCACTCAAGCCACAAATGCATATAGTTACAAATGCACCAAGGCAAAGACAGGCACAGGTACCCACACATATGTGCAAACACATACACGCATATATATGCAAGTCCGCCCAGTCACACACACAGCTTCTCCTGCACACCTGCCCAGGAGCAGACACCCAAGGGAGGGGACACTTCAAGGGCTCCTCACCAGCTCCCAGTTGTGTTGGCATACAGCTTCCAGGAGCTGGCTCTTCAGCCATGGATATTTCCATCTCCTCCTTGATGACAGCAGGATTTGCCGACATCGTAACCAGTTGTTTAGTTGTAAGCTGCAGCCAAGGAAGCGCAAGGAGCGGAGAGTACAGAGGACGCACTTGGAAAATCAGCTCTTGGAGGGGTAGGAGCACAGGGAAGATATATTCAGACTCGGGGGTGGAGACAGACGCCCTCCCTGGACTCAAGCCTTGGGCCCAGCACCTTTTGTTCCTGCGGTATCTCGCTGACTGGGTTTGTGGCCTTCTCCTCTGCTACTCTGTAACCAACTTAGGAGAAGAGATAAGGCGCAGAACCCTTGCCTCTGAGCACTGCCCTGGCTCTCGGGTCACCTGATGTGGCCCCACTGGGAGCCAGATGGGGTCCCCCCTTCATCATTACTAGGGAGAGGCAGGGACTGACACCAGACCCCAGAGTGAGTCAGCGGCCAAAGCAGAGTGCGATCCCCAGCCTGTCATGGCTTCTGCAAGCCCAGCTCTGGTAGGAATCTAGGTCGCATAACACAGAAGGCATCCTCTGCACAGCACATCCTGCCTGCCCCTCCTGTTCAGAGTTCCCCGGCAAGGGAGTGGGCTTTCTGATGCCCTGGGAAAGCTGAGACAGGAACCATGAGAACCAAATGAGGGAAGGGCAGGAAAGGGACCTGACTGTAGCCACTGGAGCTGCCATATTCCCAGGCCCTGCACCCCCTGGTCCAAGTCCAAATTCTCTGTCAGCTTTCCTACTGATTAGACCCCTGTGAGAGTCAGGTTTATGTATCAACTTGGCTACTGACAGTCTCCAGTTTTCCATCAAACACTAGTCTAGGTGTTGCTCTGAAGGTATTCTGTAGATGTGGTTAATCCGTACAAACCATAGACTTCAAGTAAAGGACATTACTAACCCTCGATAATGTGGTCGGGCCTCATCTAATCAGTTGGAAGGTGTGAAGAGCAAAGACAGGCTTCCCAGAGACGAAGCAGTTCTGCTCAAGACTACAGCACCACTTCCTGCTAACTCCAGCCAGTGGGCCTGCCCTGCAAATTTTGTCCCTGCTAGCCCTACAATGGCATGAGCCAATTCCTTACAATAAATTTCTGTATACATACACAGATGCATATGCACATATGTACATGCATCCATCCTGCTGGTGCCATTTCTCTGGAGAACCCTGACTGGCTGATAACCACCACTGAAGGTGAACCCTTAGTTCTTGCGAACAGCTCCAGAGTCCCTGGGGGGAAAGAAGGCTACTTGTAAAAGACAGCAAGCACAGCTGGGGCCAGTTGAGAGGATGCAGGAGGGAAAAACGAAGGGGGGAAGGGAAAGGCAGGGGAGAGGCGGGCTTTGCTTAGAGAGGGTGGCATGGTCTGGGCTGCCTGGCTCCTCCCTGGCCCCACCTGTCCAGTACTGCGACCAAGCTCTTCAGCGCAGAGCTGATACAGATCCTGCCTGCTTTCCTGAGGGCCGGGAGGAGACCCTTCGCAGCTCTAGCGGAGCAGCTGCCGTGAAATCTGAGCTTTCTGGAGGGCCACCTTAGGCGCAGAGAAGTGTGCTCTGTGGGGCTCGGGAGCCTGGGAAGCAGGAGCCACGGGATTCTGCCAGGCCAGGGTTACCAGACTGAGCCACTAAACATACAGGGGCCAATGGAATTTGAATTTCAAATAAATAACATAACATTTTTCCTGTAAGTACACTCCATGCAACATTTGGGACACACACTAAAACATTATTCATGCTTTCTCTAGCACTCACGTTCAACTGGCATCCTGTATTTTATCTGGCAACCATAAGCCCTGCCCATCCTCCACATGATCATAAGATGTGACCTTGAGCAAGTCTTTCCTTTCTTTGGGCCTCAGTTTCCCCATTGGCCAATGAAGCTAACAAGCCCCTCCCTACAGGCGGGCTGTATTGTAAGATCACTCAAGTCAGCAGAGCCAGAAAAATGCAGGTGCCAAACCACCAAGCACTACTGACCTCAGGTCAGAGGGCCCTCTGCCTACCAACTGGTTTTGCCCAGCTGGACCTTCCTGGGGCACTGGGCCACTTGGCCCAGGCGCATGCAGAGGCACTGCCCCCTGGTGGCAAAAGAATCCACCACCTAAGGTCAAGCAAAGAGGGTGAGGAGACATCCTTCCCAATCTCTAGGTGCCCAAGGCCACCCAGAAACCCTGGCATTTCACCACCTTGGCATGCCTGCCTCTCTTGGATTGGGTACCAAGGATGGCTAGGCGATGGCAGACAAAATTTGATATCTGACTCTAAACTTGTCCCTTAGAGTGTCTCTCTAGCATGCTAACCTTTTCCCTCCAATGTCATACTTTCCCTCTGAAATTACCCCAAACCACCATTCCAAACACTCTGAAAAGCCCCCACTGTGTGCCGACTTTGGGGATCTGAAGGGCTAGAGAGCTGCAGGTACAGGGAGATCTACCAAGCCTTCTGGGGGCCAAGAGGATAGCCCATGGCCAAGTGTAAGTACTGGGCCGCAGAGGCCTAGACTCCAGTGGAAGGCTACCAGAGAAGAAGGCCAGGGAAGCCGAAGCTCTTCCCACCAGGAGGTTAGACAGATGCCCCTCAGATGGGGAAAACACCTACGTGATGGCAGACAAAATTTGATACCTGGCTTAGATGTGTGTGTACGTTTGCAGTGTTTCACACAAATGAAATCATACGTTTGAGGTACATGCTGTTCTGCGACTGATTTTTTGTGTGTGCAAGCCCATCTCTTAAACACAGCTTTTGCCACACAGCTGTGCCTGTTTGACATGCTCATGGACATTTTGGGTGTCCAGAGCTTTTCATTTTTATGAACAATGTAGCAGTGAGCATTTATGGACATGCTTCTTTGAACACCTGTAAATGCTTTTGTAGAGCAGGTGCCTAGAAGTGGAATTGTGGGGTCTAGGGTATGTGTAACCAATATCGAGTGGTATTTTCAATGTCCCCTCCAAAGAGGCTGCACCAAGCCAGACCTCACAGGAGTTCACAAGTGGGAAGAAAGTGCCAGTGTCTTTGCAGCCTTATAGACAGAAGATATTATAAAACTCTGAAAGGTGTCATTACAATGAGTAGAGAATGATACCTACATCGTTGTTGCTTTAATTTATATTGCTTTAATTATGAATAAACCTGAGTAATTTTTCATGTTTATTGATCTGTATTTCTTTCCTGTGAACTGTATGCTGGAGGGCTTGGATATTTATTAAAATAAAAGCTATTTTATTAACAGAAAACAATGGGATGAAAGCTCTCCCTCCCTTCAAGCTAAGCATCTCCAAAGAAAACATATCATCTTTTTCCCTAAAGGTGATTGTGATGACAGAGCCTCCGTTGGGGACAAAACAAACCCAGTTAATTGCATCCAAGTTTGTGCTGAAATCCAGAGGGCATCCAGTGCCCCCGCCCCAAGATGTTCAACTCAGGCTGTTGCCTGCCTGTCTGCCTGTCTGCCCCTGTCTTGTGTCTGTCTGTTTCTCTGCCTGTCCAAACACCTGCCTCCACTAAAGCCTTCCAACCACTAGTCTCTTCCAGCTGTTCAGCTAGCCACATACCCTAGTCCAAATTCCCAACTGGCTCTGGGTCTGCTGGCCCTTTTTGCTACCTGCTCCCACGTCCTTTGCAAGCAGTGGTGGGAGGTAACAGGAACCCAGGCGCGGGGTCAGTACTTAGAGTGACTTGTAGCTCTGACACTGGAGCATCTTAAGCAAGTTGCTTCCCCTGCTCTGAGCCTCAGTTTCCCATCTTCACATGGAAGATTGGGCTAATACCTAGTTTCAGACTGTTCCATGGTTTCAGGGGGACTTGGGGGCTGCCTGGGCTCCAGAGCAGACACCAGCCACTCTTTACCCAGAGACCTCCGGTTTGATCATTTTCTCATGCTGGGGTTCTACGGAAGCCAACGGGCATGATGGTCTGCTGCCTCCCAGCTCTGCTCAGAGCCTGGTGTTGGGAGCTGCCCTCCCAAGCCCAAGTGAGCAAGCCTGATTTCTGCAGCAAACTCGGATCTTTCAGGCATCTGGGAGTGTCCTTTCCACTTGCTAATGAACCTGTAAACAATTCTCCTTCCTGCTCCTGGAAGCAGCTGGCACTGAGGTCATCTCTGGAGCCCCAAGGGCCTCCCCCGGACCAGAGGGGAAAGGGAAGCCTTAAAGAGACAGGAAGGGCAGAGGAGCAAACTGCAGGGGCTGTAGCTAGCCCAGGGAAGGAGGACCCACTCCAATGGGGACAGGGCCACCAAAAGCTGGTTACAGGAAGCACCTCATTTTCTAATGCGGGTTCCTCTCATTCAATTTGACTGTCTTAAGACTGACTGTGTACCTGGTACTGGGGATAGGGGCAAGGTCCCTGCCCTCACAGACCACGGGCTACAAGCAGATGGGCAGGAAGGTCTTTGGCGGTCCTGCTCTTCGTCCCACCATGTTCTGCCCCCCCCCCACCCCCCGGGAGAGTGGTAGGTGCTCTCTAAGCTTTGTCCACCTAAGAGCGAGGGCCCAACTCTTGTCCCCAGCCACTGCAGCCTCTGAGGGCACATCTCTGGGACAGCTCACTACTTCCTGACGGGCTCAGATTGGGTGGACACACGGGTCGTACCTCCTGAAACCTGGTCCTGTCTGGGAGAAGCAGCTCCAACAGAAGTGGGTTAAAGACCCTGACACGGAGCCACAGCCCTGGCTGAGAAGCCTGCAGGCAGGCCCGCGGCTGTGGTGATGCTATGTGCCTTCGCGTCCCTTTGGATCAGCCCCTAAAGGTTCCCCCCTCCAGGGGCAGGCTGCCTAAGCAAGTCCGGTGGAGCTGCAATGGGGGTAATCGGTGCCAACTGATTGCCCAGGGGCAGCACTGAGGAGCAGAGAGGGCAGCCCGGCCCCTGCTGTGGCCAGCTGCTGGCCCTGCTGCACCTTCTTCCTTCCTGTCTCCCGGTTGGCCCAAGAATCCCTTCCCCCAGAAGCTGGCAGCATATTTGGAAACCCAAAAAGGTTTAGTCACTCTGCCCCATGTATAGGGAGCCCTTGGCATGAGTGCGGAAGGAACTCTTTTCTGATCCCCAGGGAAGGATTTAGACAAGTGACCTTGCAGAGCCCAAGGCCGCACCTGCAGAGTGAGTCCTCAGATGGAAATACAT